CCCCAAAACCCCAAAACCCCAAAACCCCTTTAGATTTCTGAATTACTGAAGATACCTTTTGCATAAAATTCAGGCTCCAAATACGCTTAAAGAAGTATGGCAGCTTTAGGAGTTACCTGGCATTAAGGTCAGCAGACCTGTTGCTCATATACCTCCTTCTAACTCTCTTCTTGAGGCTACTCTTATTAAAAGTCACCACTGGGTCTCTTCTAGACTGAGTTAATCCTTGGTCTGCCCAATTAATGTAGAAATTAGCTCTAGTTTCCAAGTTAGCCAATTTCGAAGACTTGGGCATTTCCTCCTGAGTTTCGGATATTTTCAGTGGCGATTGGGCTGAAGTTGTGAGATCCCAGTTCTGGTTCAAGACATTTTCATCGTACTTAAAATTGTCGATAACTTCCCAATTTCCTTTTCCTCATTGAGTAGCTCTCAGAGGCGAAGTTTTATAGATTATTTTATGGTCATTCTGAGAATTTTTTCAATTTTGTGATGAAAACCAAGAAGAGCAAGAATTATGTAAGTTAATGTCAGCCAACTTTATATGTCTTCTTTTACGTCTCTGAGCGCTTTGCTCCGGTTTTATGGGCCTCTTGGTCAAGTTCTTTCTGTAGCAATGCATTGAACTGTTTAAATCAAAAGATGGAGGATCAACTATAAATCAGATAAAGCTTCTTACTACATTTTGAAATGATCTCATTTGTGAAGCCTGGAGCTTGTCTTCTTCAAGAATCAACATCTTTAAATTGAATTTTACACAGTGATTTCTTTTTGATTTTTCTGACCGGTTTCATAAGCAACGAAAGCACGTTCTTACATCCAGAGAGCGAGGCTGCTCTGTCATGGTTCGCCTTAAGTCTCTCGACAAAAAACCTGTGACTCAGCTTCTTCAGCTTAGCTTTGCGGTAACATTTTTCTATAGAATATTTTAGCATGGGTCTTTAGACCAGTTTCTAATTAAGAAACTTTTATCAAATTTTACAACTATAAATTTTTGAAAATTATGGGTTCAAAGTTTCTTGAAGTTTAGCCTTTGCCTCTGCTTTACGCTTTTTACGCTCCATGTGATCCTGCTGGTGAAAGTTGAGGATCTCACCACTGATCTTGAGGTCTAGTTCATTGATCAACTTCTGGGCCAAGAAATCAGCCTTTTGGACCCTTTTGCTCTTAAGAGCTTCATTAACTTTGCAAATATCAATGGAGAGGTGTTTATGCTCGTCTTCTCATTTCTTAATAGCCTCTGTTAACTCATTCTTCTTCTCAAGGTTCAGACGGGAATTACGGAACAAGCATGGGTACTGGTAATCCTTCAACAAAATACTAGTATCTTCCTTAGAATCCGAGCCTGAAGTATGAAACTGGAGAGACTTACTTATTGCAGATTTAGTGAGGTATTTCTGGTGACGCTTTTTCAACTCAGAATTACTTTCCTCAACCCAATTCTTAAACTCCTTCATGCATCGTTTGTAGTCAGCCTGTGTTATTTTTGAGGCTTGTTTGGCTTCCTCCTCCTGAGCTGGGTTTACGCTCATAACTTTTTGAGCATCAAATTTGAAAGTTTTCTCAAAGTTTCTTAGTATTTTTGGATTACTCAGGAAACCGTTCTGAGATTTGAAAATCGTCAGAATATTAAACACATTTTTGTCAAGTCTATAGGAATTCAGCTGCTCGAGATCCTTCTTTTGCTGTTGAAGAAGAGCTTCTTGTCTCTTCTTTTCCTCTTCTCGTTCGGCTTCTTTCAGTGCTATCTCGTAAGGGGTGAGATTATGAGTGGATTCAGTTCGACTTCTGAGATCTGAAATCATTCTTCTTCGACGCTCTGCCTCAGATATTTGATATCCAGGAAGGTTTTCTCTCTTGTAATTCGCAGTATCATTATCATTAGCATTTTGCTTTTGAACCTTCTTCAAAAGCGGGGCAGACTCCTCTTGCTTTGTCTCTGGCTGAGCCTGAGCGGTTGGGGGAGCTGGCTTATTCTTCTTCAAACTCTTGCAAAGAGCCCTTAACTTCTTGTTCATTTTAGCCACAAAGAGGCTTATTTGTTAAATAATTTACAAATTTCGCACACAAAATTTTAGGCCGAGGTCAAAAATATTAAATTTATGGTGTTTTTAGAGGAAATATATTGGGATTCAAGAACTCACTTATATCTTCCGACCTCAGGAGGTTTATCTTAGCCGTTTCTAGTGGTTGGAGGGACGGCTTCGTATGCTTCTGAGAAGATCTGCTCCTCTCATTCATCTCTACTTCGACTCTTATTTCCATTCAAATTGGAGTTTTTGTTTCAATTAAATTTTAATACTTAGGGGTTTTGGGGTTTTGGGGTTTTGGGG